TTACATGAGTATTTAAAAGCTAAATACTATATTGTACACAAAAATTAATTCAAAATGTATCAAAGACCTAAACATAAGAGCTAAAACTATACAACTCTTAGAGGAAAACCTTCATGATGCCAGAGCTGGTGATGAATTCTTGGATGACACAAAAAAACACATGCAACAAATGAAAAAACAGATAAATTAGACTACAAAATTAAAAACTTTTGTGCATCAAAGGACACTATCAATAGAGTAAAAAGGCAACCCTACAGAATGGGAGAGAAGTGTTTGCAAATCACATGCCTGATAAAGGGTTAATATTCAGAATATATAAACAACTCCTAGAACTCAACAACAAAAATCAAGCAACGCAATTCAAAAACAGGCAAAGAACAGATATTTCTCCAAAGAAGATGTACATATAGTTAATAAGCACATGAAACAATCCTGAACTTCACTAATAATTAGGGAAATGCAAATCGAAACCACCATAAGATGCCATTTCACATCCATTTTAAAAAAAAGAAGAAAAACAGAAAACAATGTGTGTTGGTGAAGATGTGGAAGAACCGGAAATCCTGGCTCCTTGCCAGAGGGAATATAAAATGGTAAAGCCTCTGTGGAAAATGGTATGGCAGTTCCTCAAAAAATTAAACATAGAATTATCATATAATCCAGCAATTTTACTTCTGAATTGAAAGCAGGGACTCTAATAGATATTTCTACACCCATGATCACAGCAGCATTATTCACAATAGCCAAAAACGGAAACAACTCAGGTCAATTGATGATTGAATGGATAAGCAAAATACGGTATACACAAAAAGAAAATATATTCGGCCTTAACAAATTCTGGGCCAGGTGCGTTGGCCTGTAATCCCAGCACTTTGGGAGGCCAGGAGTTCGAGACTAGCCTGGGCAACATAACAAAACCCCATCTCTACAAAAAACACAAAAATTAGGCCAGGCGCAGTGGCTCACACCTGTAATCCCAGCACTTTGGGAGGCTGAGGCGGGTGGATCACCTGAGGTCAGGAGTTCGAGACCAGCCTGGCCAACATGGTGAAACCCCATCTCTACTAACAATACAAAAATTAGCCAAGCGTGGTAGCGCACGCCTGTAATCCCCGCTACTCGGGAGGCTGAAGCAGGAGAATTGCTTGAACCAGGGAGGGAGCCGTTGCAATGAGCTGAGATCACGCCATTGAACTCTAGCCTGGGCAACAAAGACTGTCTCCAAAAAAAAAAAAAAAAGGAAAAAGAAATTCTGACACACGCCGCAACACAGGTGAGCGCTGGAGGCATCATGCTAAGTGAAATAAGCCAGACAGCAAAGGACAAATATTTTGTGGTTCAACTTGGAACAGTCAGATTCATATAGGCAGAACCAGCAGCTGGAGACAGTGGGGAATGGAGAGTTACTGTTTCATGGGTATCAAGTTTCAGGTGATGAAAAAGTTCTGGAAATGGATAGTGGTGGTGGCTGCACAACAATGTGAATGTATTTAATGCCACTGAACTGTATATTTAGATATGGTAAATTGCATGTTATATATATATCTTATCATGATTAAAAAGTTAAGCAATTATAGCATTATGTAGCAAAATCAGAAACAATTGAATAATTTCAAAAATTGGCAACAGGTCTTACAGAAAAAGCAAGTATTTACATTCACTCTAAATATAAATCATTTGAGAAAGAAATGCCAAAGACTGGGAACCCTGAGCCTGGTCACTGTCTATGCTGGTTCTGTAGAAGATGGAGTAGACTCAACCAGCCAGGGGTGCTGGATTGAGGGAAACAGGGGCAAGGACAGTCAGAACTAAAGAACTCTGTAATCAGTACCAAAACCAAGTTGTTTTCAGGGGAGTAGACAAAGCTCTGGACTGTTTTAACATGTGTCCCTTTCTCAACCGAAATTCTAGAATATCTAATTAATTAAAACTAAAGCCAAAGAGCAGGAGGATCACTTGAGCCCAGGAGACAGATCTGGTCAACATGGTGAGACCTCGCCTCTACAAAAAATTAAAAGATTAGCTGGGTCTGCTAGTGCACACCTGTATGATTCACGCCTGTAGTCCCAGCTACTTGGGAAGCTGAGGTGGGAGGATCGCCTGAGCCTGGGAAGTCAAGGCTGCAGTGAGCCATGATTGCGCCACTGCACTACAGCCTGGGCAAGAGAGTGAGACCCTGTCTCAAATTTAAAAATAATAATAAAACTAAAGACAAATAGGCCAATAAAACAGCATAAAGTCTAAAATTAAATCTTATGAATATACAGTTACCTATCTGTGACAAAAGTCATAAATAGTGCTGGAGCAACTGGACATTCCTGTGGGAGAAAAAAGTATGACTCCTACCTTGCACCAGACACAAAAAATAAATTCTAGATAGACTGCAAATTTAAATGAGAATAATTCAACAAAGCATTTCGAGGAAAGAACAAGAGAACGTCAGTCTTAGAGTAAACAGCGATTTCTTAACCAGGACATAAAAAGTACTCAAAAAATTGTAATAAATTGAACTATATTAAAATTAATAATTTCTGTCGATCAGAAGATATCATTAAGAGTGAAAGGCATCCACAGAGTGGGAAAGAAATACGTGCTGTGTGTGTGTGTATATATATATATATATATATATATATATCTGACAAAGAAATCTTATCCATTTGTATTACAATATAATACAAGTTATACTGTAAAGACCTTGCAAATCAATATTAAAAAGATAAACAATTTTTAAATGGGGAAAAAAATTTGACCCTTCACAAAAGATTTCCAAATGGCTAATAAACAAACAGGTGCTCAAATTCATTAGTTATCAGGAAAATGCAAATTAAAATTATTCATACGATGAACACTATAAACACACTTGCTAGAATGACTAAAATTAAAAAGGACAGCAAATATCAAGTGTTGGTAAAGATGAGAAACAACCACACCTCTGAGGCTCTCAGTACTGGCAGAAGTGTACACTGGTACAACCACTTCGGAAAATTGTTTAAAGGCATCTACTAAAGATGAACAAAAGCACACTCTTTAACCTAGGGTTTCCATTTCTAGGGCTATACCCAACAGAAATGCACAAACATGTCCACCAAAAGCTATGTACAAAAATATTCATAGCCAGCCAGGTGTGGTGGCTCACACCTGTAATCCAAGCACTTTGGGAGGCCAACGTAGGTGGATCACCTGAGATCAGGAGTTCAAGGCCAGCCTGACCAACATGGCGAAACCCCGTCTCTAATAAAAATAGAAAAATTAGCTGGGTGTGGTGGCATGCACCTGTAATCCCAGCCACTCGGGAGGCTGAGGTAGGAGAATCACTTGAACCCAAAGGCAGAGGTTGCAGTGAGCCAAGATTGTGCCACTGCACTCCAGCCTGGGAGACAGAAGGAGACTCCATCTCAAAACAAACAAATAAATAAATATATATATATGTATATGTGTGTGTATATATATTCATAGCCAAGACCTAGAAACTACTGAAGTGCCCATCAACAGTAAAATGAAAAATAAATTGTGCTATAGTCACACAACTACGGCACTGAGAATGAATTATAACCACATACAAAATGGAGAAATTTCACAAACACTGTAGAAGAAACTGGACACAAAAGAGTGTATAACGTAAGATTCTATTTACATAAAGTTCAAAACTAAGCAAAAACTAATCTATGATATTAGAAGCCAGGACAATGTTTACCCTTGGTGGAGGAGAAAGTAACTGGAAGGGGGAAAGGAATCAGTCTCCGGGATGATAGTAAAATTCTATTTCTTTTTTTCTTTATTTATAATGGTAGAGATGGGGATTCACCATGTTGCCCAGGCTGACCGGTCTCAAACTCCTGGTGGATTCAGGAGTACACAGGTGTGTTTAGTATGAAATGATCTGAAGGGTACATGTATGACTTCACGAATTTATCTCTGTGTATTTTAGCTTCAATTAAAAAAATTACAAATAAATTTGTACCAAATTCCACGAACTCAAATTCCACCAGCTCAGACTTCACATGTCCTCTTTATTCAAAGTATGACTTCCAAAGTGATTCTCAATTTTCAAGATCAGTAAGTACACAAATTAGACAATTCTTCACCTCAAACCAAGTGTGACTGAATCGTAGACAACTTAGAAGAGGGGTAAATACAAATATAAAAAATTGATATATTTTACAACCGTTATGAAAACACAGATAAACCCAATTATAATACATTCTAGAGCATCACGAAAAGATAAAAACATCAAAGTAGACTTTCCAAGGTCAAGTCCGCTTCCTGACCCCTGCCAACAGCACACATAGAAACATGGGCCAAAAAAGAAGCTGCTTCCCTAAGAAGTTGCTTGCAGAGCAAAATGGACTTTTGCTGAGGTTCTCACTCCCATAAATAACCAATATTCTCACCCCAAAAGGGAAGGTTTCGAACTCAATCCACGTGGGGGCTGGGGGAGATGAAAGAGGGATGGAAACGTGAGGCGCCGGGAGGGCAGGTGTTGACTGGGACAAGGTAACCGGCCGGGTCCAAACGAGAGAGGTGGGCGGGCTCCGCGCAGCCTGGTCCTTCCAGGACCCACCGGGCCCACCCAGGCTCTCCGGGACGCCTGCGCATCCACCTGCCTACCTGGCCGGGCGGCGGAGCGCGGGGGCGCGCACCGGCCGGGCCGCCGTCCACACCCCGAGGCGCGAGCCGCACATCCCCCCAGAGAGGAAGCCCCCGAGGTCCCGGAGCGCGGCGCGTACCGCAGCCCTCCCCGCGGAAAGGGAAGGGCAGGACCGGGGCCGCGGAGCAGGGGCGGGGTCCGGGCTGGAACGAGGGAGCGGGAGGGGGCAGGGGAAGGAGGAACGGAGCGGGGGGCAGGCAGAGGGAGGGGAGGGGAGGGCTGGGGAGGGAGAGCGGCAGAGGCCGGGGCGGGAGGCGCGGGGTGCAGGCCCGGAGGTGAGGGGCCCGGGGGCAGGGACGGAGGGCCCGGGCAGGCGCGCGGGGCTGTCAGGGCTGCCTCGGTCCCCACGCACCGTGGACTCCCGCACTTGGCTGTGGAAGTGCTGCTCCCGCGCCGACACCTCGTCCTGCCCTTCCATCCTCCTTCATGCCCGCCGCCGCGCCGCCCGCGTCCGCGCGCTCCGCCGCACCATCGCCCGCCCGCCGCAGGGGCTCGGACGACCGCGCCGGGGACCGGGACCGGCACGGGCCCGCGAGCCGCGGTTGGAACAGGTACCGAGACCACTACACCGGCCGCCGCCTCAGCAGCCTCAGGCGAGCTGCTCTGGCTGAGGGAGGGCGGGCGCCGCGCAGCCGGGGGCGGGGCGGGGGCGGGGCGGGGCGGGGAGGGGGCGGTGCAGGGTCACGTCAGACGAAAGGCGCCGATACGTCAGAGAAGCGCGCCTCGCGGTCTTCCGGGCCGCTAGGCCGGGAGGTGCCGAGGGGGCGGGGTCCAGCCACGCCCTCAGGAGCTACCCCAGTTAGGGAGGTGCTGTCCTGGCGTCGGGTGGGGACGGGGAGCGCGTCGAGGGTGCTGCGACTTCTGCCCACCTGGCCCGGCCGCAGTCTCTGAGTTCCTGTTCCTCACAGGAGCTAATTATTTATGACAGCCGCAAGGTGCCCCTCCCCCAGTTACTCAGTGCTTGACACTCAGCACCCCTTAACTCAGCACTCAGTACCGCACTCAGCCTCAGAGGACCTGGGCAGAGGGAAGCAGGGAGTCTCCTGCGGAAACTTGCTCTGCCAAAGTAGGTTGAAAGGTCGGAAATCGGTGGTTTTGGGCCGGGCTTTGGGCAGCAACCCAACTTCTCTGGGCCTGATAAGGGTCTTGGGCTGTCCCACCTGGAAAACTCAGATAACCGAGCTGGCGAGGCCCTTGTCAAGTCCTTCCGGTAGCTCGGTCACTAGGGTGAGTTTTATGACCCTCAGTGGACCCTAAACAGCACGTAATTTATGTATTTGTCACCGCCAAATATATCAAACACAATGATTCACACTCCATTCCCCATTATCTTTCTTTTTGCTATAACATTTGAATTTAAGGGAATGTTTATAATTTTACCTTGGGATTTATTTGGCTACGAGGAAGTCATTTAAATTGCTAGTGGCTGTGATTTTTGTTTTTGGCATCTTTGAGAATTCTTAGGAAGTGTGAAAATCTACAAATTGTTTTCAAATATCATTTAGATTTTTTTTTTTTTTTTTTTTTTTTGAGACGCAGTTTCACTCTTGTCGCCCAGGTTGGAGTGCAATGGCGATCTCGGCTCACTGCAATGTCCGTCTTCTGGGTTCAAGTGATTCTCCTACCTCAGCCTCCTGAGTAGCTGGGATTACAGGCGCCCACCACCACGCCCGGCTAATTTTTGTATTTTTAGTAGAGACAGGGTTTCACCACGTTGGCCTAGCTGGTCTGGAACTACTGACCTCAGGTGATCCACCCACCTCGTCCTTCCAAAGTACTTGGATTACAGGCATAAGCCACCGTGCCTGGCCGTTATTTAGATTTTTATGAATCTAAATTTAACAGTTAATGAAGTTGGTGCAAAGTTTTTCAAAGACAAATATATGGTAATTTAAATGTTGCCGTTTCTCTTCACAATTTTGAGTTAAAATTTTTTCGGCCGGGCGCGGTGGCTCAAGCCTGTAATCCCAGCACTTTGGGAGGCCGAGACGGGCGGATCACGAGGTCAGGAGATCAAGACCATCCTGGCTAACACAGTGAAACCCCGTCTCTACTAAAAAATACAAAAAAAAAAATAGCCGGGCGAGGTGGCGGGCGCCTGTAGTCCCAGCTACTTGGGAGGCTGAGGCAGGAGAATGGCGAAAACCCGGGAGGCGGAGCTTGCAGTGAGCTGAGATCCGGCCACTGCACTCCAGCCTGGGCGACAGAGCAAGACCCCGTCTCAAAAAAAAAAAAAAAAAAAAAAAATTTCACAACTCAAACTTGCTATGGTGCTTGGCGAAGTTGGAGGCCCCGACACATTGTTTCTATGAGTTCACTATAGCTGAATATTGTGGTGGTGGGAAAACTTAGAAAACCTGAGGCTTGTTCTCAGCATGTGCCCTGCTGCCACAGGCTGATTGATCATAATCCAAGAACAACTGTCAACTGGTTGAATTCAACGTTCACCTTTATTTTTTAGAATGTTTTGGAGCCCTAAAAAACCTGGATAATTTCTGGGTTAATTCTGAAGGGCAAGCAGATTAGATTTTAAAGTGTACAGCATTTAAACACAGATTCCGGAAAGTGATTGCATGCAGTATTTGTCATCTTTTTAATGCAACACTCCAACCATGTAGACCTTTCGATTTTCTTTTATGCAGTCATCCCTAGAGGTTTACCCACCACTGATACTTGTAACACTTAACCCAGGGTAGCAGACTTCAACAATGGGCCACGTACTCACCACTCCCTATACGCTCACCCCTCTGCCATCTAGCTTTGTCCTTCCTCCCAGCAAGAAATGGACTCGGCTTTCCAGCCCTGGAATCAGCCTGGCTGGGTGACCTGTTCTGGCCAGTGGGACATTAGAAAATATGAAACTATAGGAAAGTGCTTGTGCATTAGGACTTGCCGTTTCTTACGGACTCTAGGGACCCTCAATGGCCACTGGCCACTGCATCATAAGCCCCAGCCCAGCTGACGATAGGTGACCTGGTCACCTCCATCAGCCCAGCCAACACCCTCTTTTCCACATCCCTAAACGCTGTTGTATAAGACCACATGGGCCATTGGAACGGCTTTGGCTTTTATTCTGGGAGAGGTCAGGAGCTACTGTGAGTTACTGACAGGTGCTATGTGATCTGACTGTTGCTCAGGGCCTGGACAGCGAATGAGGAAGACTTACAGCAGAAATTCACAGCCTAGCAACCTGGACCAGGGTGGAGGCAGCAGATGAGGTGAGAGGTAATCAGATTCTGAATGCATTTTGAAAGGAGGATTTCTTATCACATGGGGGATGTGGTCAGAAAAAGAGAAAGACAGAGAGCTCCAAGGCTTCTGGCCTTAGCAGCCAGAAGGACAGCTGCATCACCAAAGAGGGGGAAGGCTGCAGTTAGAACAAGTTTTGGAGAAAAGACACAGAGTTCTTAAAATGTGATGATGACACCTTCTGGCCACCAAAATATACTGTGTGGATATGAAGTTTCATCTCATATCGGAAGAATATGGCTGGCAATAAACATTTAAAAATACGTTTCATCTCATCAATACCCAGGACATGCAAACTGAAACCTAAATGAAGTAGCTTTTCACTTTCATTGGGTGGGCAAAATTTTTTTAATTTGACCATATTGAATGTCACAAGAATGTGGAACAGTAGAAATTCTATACCACTGGAGGTAGTGTGAACCAATGTAACATCTCAGTAAATAATTTGGCATTATCCGGTAAAGCCGAAGATAAGCAATGAGCAGCTGCACTCCTACCCATACATCCTAGAAAAGCTTGTGAGCATGTACACCAAGAGATGTGAACGAGAATCCCCACAGCTGCGCCACTTGAACCAGCAGAAGTCTACAAATAGCCCAGCTGTCTATCCACGGTAAAATGGATAAAGAAACTGATATGTTCATGCGACAGAATGCGATTCTGAAAAATTAGTGAACAATAGCTGCAAGCAGCAATACAGATGCATCTCTAAAACAAAGTGTGGACGAAAAGAAAGTACCAGAAGAAGACACCCAGTGACTCCATTTAGGTAAAGTTCAAAACCACACAAAACTATATACTATTATATTATTCCATTCTCACACTGCTACAAAGATCCTACCCAAGACTGGGTAATTTATAAGCAAAGGAAGTTTAATATACTCACAGCTCCGCATGGCTGGGGAGGCCTCAGGAAACTGACAATCATGGCAGAAGGGGAAGCAGGGATGTTTTACATGGTGGCAGAGGAGGTGGGAGAGGGTGCAGGGGAAGTGAGGAAGTGGGGAAGAGGGGCAGGAAGGGGGGAAAAGGAGGGAAGAGGGGATGGAGGGAGGAAAAGAAGAAGAGAAAGGGGGAGGAAGAGCGAGAAGGATGAACTGTCAAACACTTATAAAACCATCAGATCTCATGAGAACTCAGTACCATGAGAACAGCATGGGGCAAACTACCCCCACGATCCAATCACCTGCCTTCCTCGACATGTGGGGATTACAGACCCCTTGCTTGGTGTTTAGGCTAACATGCTCCATGTAGCAAGGGGTTATGTTGCAGTAGAGAACCCTCGGTTTAAGCTATCAGGAAATGGTAAACCCTGCACACATGGTGACTACAATTGGAGATGAGATTTGGGTGGGCACACAGACCCAAACCATATCAACCATTTGGGCATACAACCATGCAGTAGAACTATAAAGAAAAGCCAAGGAATGATAAAACTCTAAGAGAGAGGTCAGAGAAGGGATTGGTGACAGGCTTTCAAGGGCCACAAAGAGAATGATAATGCTCTATTTCTTAAACCAGAGTGGAGGAGGTCCACAACCCTATCTTGCATTGTTATTCTTTATGCCTATGCATTATCTGTCATGCATAAACAGCATCTATTTAATATTTAATAAAGTAACTGTTTCAAGAAGCACAACTTCCTGGGAGCCTTAACCATGGGTTCTCTACCACAACTTAACCCCTCGCTAAATGGAGCACGTTAGCCTAAACGCCAAGCAAGGAATCTGTAAACCAGGTACCAGTTCTGTGGTAAATTGCTGTGTGACCTTCCGGGTCTCCGTTCAATTAACAATGCCTGAGGTTCCTTCCAGCACTAATACTATGTTTGTTGTCTTAAAAATTAACTTGGAAGGCCGGACACAGTGGCTCACGCCTGTAATCCCAGCACTTTGGGAGGCCAGGGCAGGTGGATCACGAGGTCAGGAGATCAAAACCATCCTGGCTAACACTGTGAAACCCCGTCTTTACTAAAAAATACAAAAAATTAGCTGGGCGTGGTGGCGGACACCTGTCGTCCCAGCTATTCAGGAGGCTGAGGCAGGAGAATGGCATGAACCCAGGAGGCGGACCTTGCAGTGAGCAGAGATCACACCACTGCACTCCAGCCTGGGCAACAGAGCAAGACTCCGTCTCAAAAAGAAAAAGAAAAATTAACTTGGAGCCAGGCGCGGTGGCTCACTAATGTAATCCCAGCACTTTGGAAAGTCAAGGTAGCCGGGCGCGGTGGCTCAAGCCTGTAATCCCAGCACTTTGGGAGGCCGAGACGGGTGGATCACGAGGTCAGGAGATCGAGACCATCCTGGCTAACCCGGTGAAACCCTGTCTCTACTAAAAAATACAAAAAACTAGCCGGGCAAGGTGGCGGGCGCCTGTAGTCCC